GTTGCGGTCTGCCTGTGCCCGGGTACCACCGGGGCCAGCGGCACCCAGGCTTCCCCCATCCCACTGCTGGATCCAGGTCGCCTTCCCTCCACAATGAGCAGGTTGTACGTGACGCCGTCCGCCTCGTAGGTAGCCGAGGGTGCCTGGAAGGGGACAAACTCCTTGCCCGGGCAGACCCAGCATTGATTGGCTGCCTCCGGCCACCCCGTGCCGCATGCCTTACACATGAATTTGTAGTCCGAGTGGCCGGCATTGAGTCTGTGCATCCGCTGGGTGCCAATGCATGCCTTATTCCGCTGGAACTGTGAGGCCCAGACCTCCTCCTGCCGGATCTGGATCTTCATCGGAACATAGGCCTCCAGGATGCGAACCACCAAGTCCTCCGTGAGATTCTTACCGACAAACTTGTGGAACAGGGAGACCGCCTCCTCCACCGTGACGTCCCTCAGCAACGTGGCCGCCGATGCCGGAAGGACCGGGAAGAGGTCTGGGAGGTCCACTAGCTTGAAATAGCCAGGACGGCCATCCACCGGCACCAGGGAGACCGGTTTGTTCACCGGGGCCGTGGTCTTCTGGGAGGCCGCCACGAAGCCCTTCAGCCTCTTCGTTGGTGGCCGCATCGCTCATCTCCTTGTCCTCGTCCTCGGCGGGGCCAGGGGCACCCAGGCCGGGAGTCGGTGTGGAGAAGGCCACACGGAGCCGCTCCAGTGCACTGGAGAGGTCGTTCATCACATCGGTGGCCGATGCCGACGGGGGCGCCTCGGGCTCATCCAACACCAGGCCGGCCGCCACAGCCGCCTCCGTGTGCGGACTTCCTGGGCCTCCTGGCTGGCCATTTCCACCTCCTCCGCGGTGAGTGCCTGGTCCTCAATCAACTCGAAGGAAGTTGCCGAAGTCGCCGAGGAGGCCATTGCTGGTTCGGGGTTGGTTCGGAAGTGACTCCCCTCAAATTTTACACAAAGTTGGGTTCAGAGAACCCAAGATCCAAGCTTGAGCCAAAATGGCCGGGGCCATTATGGTCAAGCATTTCAAACACAGTTCATGTTTCCACATGCGTTTCAACATTAACAAAGTATCCTCACAAATCACGCCCACTTGTCGGGGCACACGAACCCCAGCCCGGCCTATGTCCAGGGAGAAGAGGCTCCGACACCGAGGCTGGGGCTCCCCGGTGTTGCAGCGCATCCCAGGCTGGCCTCCGGTTTTGCGGAATGCAAAAGAGAGCCCTCAAAACAGGTGGCCATGGGTCAAACTCCGGTACCCCCAGCGAACATCCCAATCCCCACTAAAATAGACTAAAATGGGTTGTGCACCTACCCAAAAATGGTACCATTGGTTTTGAGGTTCCCCGTGATTTCCCCTGAAAACCAATTCACTATCCAAAGAGGGCACTCGCGGGTCAACTGGGCCTCGGCCCGTTTCGGGGGCAAGGCCTTGGGGCGCCCGGCACTCGCGGTCCTCCGCGCAGGTCATGCCTTCGCTGCGCTGGGCTCTGCAGTACTGCACCTGACATGGCAAGTTGAGCCAGCCGACCAAACAAACCAACAAAAACCAAATCCATGCAATGCCGTGGGGAACCTCAACAACTGGTTGACTCCCTGTGGTTTGACAATCACTGTGGTAAAGCTGAGAGCGGCGCCCAGTAGGGATTCTGACCGCCAGTGGGGTCGGAAGGACAATAGAAACCAAGATGAGGGCAATCGAAGTCGCTCGCGCAGGTTTGGTTCGCGTTGTACCTTTCTAGGGATCGATTCCCGCACGGGCTTCGCGAATGGCTTGTCGAAATGAGGGAACCCTCTGGTTGGACGGGAAACTGCGGGGGACTATTTTATTAAAAGCAACATGACCAAGCGTTCCCCGAGCTTTTCTTGACATACCCCAGAGAAGCTCGCTCTCCGGACCTGTCCGAGAGGGCACGGCTGGAAGGGCATGCAATTCCCGCTCAGGCATCGCCGCATCCCATAGATGCAGTCCTGGCAAAGACGACCTATTTAGTAGTGACCAAAAACCAGTCCAAGGGAATCCAAACCTAACTCAAAATATGCGGAGAGTATCCCTCTCTCCTGGTCGAAGTTGCAAGGCATGCCCACCTGCGCATGCGACAGCGTCTGAGCTTTCTCCGATGCAGCACGAGCCTTGTTCCGCCAGCGGCAAACCCAGTTTGTCCACTCAGTTAAAGGCTTAGGATCCCACCTGGCGATCACTTTCTTTCCATTCCGCACACCGGATCGGCTCTGAACGTTCAACGTTCAATCGTCGAGGCACCAAAGCGCCAAGCAAGTATACTGTGCGTGGTCGACAACCGTCCTGCCAATTTCTAGTTGAGAGCATTTGCCACTTGGGCGGACATCATCGAGGCGGTCCTATCTACACAGTTGCTGCAGTCACCAGGCGGGTGGCATTGATCGTCCGAAGGGCAAAAGACCTGCACGCAGGGTCTGATGCATCTCGGGACAATCGATCGTCGAAAACAGCAACTGCACACCTGCCCACCATCCGCATGGCACACCTGGCAGGACCAGGAAACCGGTGGCATCTGAATGTTAATGTCCCTGTGTTTGCTTTCATTCATTACCTATTGCCTTTCAAGCTATGACGATATGAAATCAGCAATGGTTCCGTCACCCGGATGTTGCCAGATTCTGACGCGACGCCTCTGGCGAAGGCTGCACGCACACCGAGAAGGCACGGTCTGTGGCGCTCTTCCAGCCGCAAGCCTCTCAGACGCTCTGAGAGGGATCAAAATGCAGGTCTCGACTGCCCCACAGAGACAGATTAGTAATCTCAATAATCCAATAGCATCTTGGTGATCCAACAGTAGTGAACATAGACCCCTGCTCAGGTGCGAGCCTTGCAATCCATCTTGCAATCTGCATCGAAGCTGCAGAAATACTGCCGCGGATTTCGAGCATTGCACACCTGGCAGTAGCTTGCTTCCAAGTCCACAGAACCTTGCCAAACGGATCTCAGAATTTGGGGCCCAAGGATGGACGGATCCCTACTTTTCAGACAAGCTCGAATTCGTGCCATCCCCGCGATGCTTGCAAAAAGTCCAACATCCAACCTCCGGCGTGGCTTGCTGCTTCGGGACGCTTTCCTGAAGACGCCGGGCAGCAGCCTGCAGAGAGACACCGCTACAAGCCGATAGCACAATGGTCAGTCACGGCCTGTGTTGTCCTCATCTCCAGCACCTACAGACCCAAGCGCAGCAAAGTGGCAGGCTTTGCATTCAGCCCCCGGCTGCATTGCTCAGCGACTGAAATACGGTTCCAATGTGCGCAAACCTGGGAAACACTAAATGAGTTGCCCGGTGGCGGATGAAAAGCGAAAGCCGGCAAGCGCAGCGCTTTTGAAGCAAGCGCCCCGCTCTTGCACGCTGAGCTCGCCATCAATGTTTGTGTCCAGCTGCAAGAACAACGCGTCCGGCTGAGTGATGTTCTGGCAAGGCACACCCAGTCAGCCTTCAACTCTGTTCGGCTGGATGCGACGCGTTGCTGTTGACACATGTTGGGAAGCAGAAAACTGATTTCAGGAGCGCGACCCGTCTTCGTGCCAGCCTCAATCAGAACACCTTCGATCCGGAACCCTTCCGCGCTCTTCCGGAAAGCGGCAAAGCCTGAGCGATGTGTAGCGAGACGAAGCGTGTCTCTTGAAGTCCACGGGCCCAACGCCCAGAAACAGGACCAACGTGGCTCTGCGCTTTGCGGTTTGTGTTTTGGGGACATGTGGAAAAGCTCCGGCGACAAAGCGGTTCCCCCAATCTTGAGATTCAGTCGCGCAGAGGCCCCGGCTCATCGGGAAGTATGCGGCGGCAGGCTCCGTCCTCTGGATGATCTCTACGGCCTTCTCGGTCACCGTTGCACCTCGGCGACCCCATTTGCGCGGGCAGATAATCCAGGGTCCCTCGCCACCCCCCGAAAAAAAGAAAGAACAAAAACACGGTTCAAAGACAGGAAACATAAACATTGGAATTGGGGAACGTTCAACTAACCTTGGTGAGAGCTATTTGCGGCATGCTTTCCTCCCGTCCGAGCCTACGCTGGTGTCACGCCAATAGACCGTGGGCATGTCCATTGACCTGACAGCCAGCAAGCGCCATGGCCTGACTTGCTAAGCTGAGCTGCCTAGTGAAGCCTCCCTCTATGTGGATTGGTGGTTTGGAGGTTGGGGGGTTTCCCATTTACGCCGTACAGAACCGGATCAAATCCCCAAACCACCAATATACACCACCCATTCAGGGTTACCTGAGTGAACCTTCAGGAAACAAAGCAGCTTGCGAAGCCTGAGCACAAAGGTGTTAACTTGGAGCGAAGGGTGGGGTTGCTCGAGATTGGGCCTGGCAAGCCTGTCACCCTTGTGTTCCAGCCTATCTTCGCATATCAGGGTCAGTCTGTTCCACTGACAGTAGTCGACTGGGCAGGAGGTCACGTGCAAGAAAGTCATACCTCCGCACGCCGCAAGCCCCACGCGTGCCCCGCACACAGCAAGGTATGCGCGACGAATTGCCGCACTGAGCGCCCGGCACGGCCGGTAGCAAATGCCTTCGCCCTGACGCAGCCACTCCAACGAGGGAAGAGAGCTTGGGCAACATCATGATTGAGGAACGGAATAGACCAGCATCACAATGATACAATGATGCCCAAATGCGCTGTTGCCTGCGCACACAAAACTTTTAAATTGTTTCAAATCTACCAACCACCACTCAAAGCGTCTTCCAAGAAGTAGACCAGCATCTCCCGTTTAAAAGCTGAGCTCAGACCAAATATAGGAAATACCCAAGCAACACCTTTCACCTCTGTCATTCTGGCCTTTGCGTGCCTTCCGCGTGCGCCCTTTCCCGCCTCAGCACACTCCTTGCCCATGCCGCACTCTTCATTGTACCTTGCGCAATCGCTGTTGGTAGCCTACTGTTGGTCTGGAGAAAATATCCGGGGGTTGACTTCCCACAACAACACTGAACCTTCCCAATTCCCGTTTCCGTTGGGGGCAAACAGTTTCGTCCCACTCTGATGGTACTTGTAGCTCTTGCGCACTTGGCTGGCACCGAGAAGGGCGGATTCTCGCACACACAGGTGGTGGGAGCTGTGCCATTGCCATAGGCGCAGTTGGTACAGATCTTCGTGTCCTGAGTCAGGTCCTTCTCTCTCAGAGCAAGAAGATGCCCAGCCATCTGCTAGCTTGCTCTTTCTCAGGCAGAAAACTTGGAGTCAGAGAGGAGCGCATCGAGCTTTAAGGGCCCGCCGGATCATGAGGCCTTGTGGTAATCCTAACAGCCTCACAGCCCTGGCGACCATCAGGAGAGGGGACGTCAGGCTGGGGACACATTGCGTTGCCTACACAGCCCAAAAGGATCCTTTGCCAACCCTTCAGGTCGAAGCTACTCGTCTCCCCAAGAGGACAGGAAAATGTGTGAGTCCCTTGGTTTTTGTGGAAACTTTTACAAGGCCCCATTGTCTTTCCCACATTATGCATACACAAAGAGTATTCTGATTGAACCTGTGCATCCCACGCCCTGAACCCCTCGCACCGTCCTGGCAGCCCTTCTCTCTCAAGAAGAAGCCCGACCGAAGCTCTCTGCACACCTCCGAGTTCTGGTTCAGACCTTACGCGAGCTGCGGTAAACCACGCAGTCGGGACCGGAATCTTAGACTCCTGCACTGACATCTTGTGCATTGGGAAGGGCCCCGGTACCTAAAGCGCTCTCTCACGGCCCACAGTGCTGAAGCCGAACAAATTGCCTGGCACATGTGTTTCTTCATACTTTGTGTGTGTGTGTGTGCATGCGCATGTATGTATGTATGCATGTACGTATGTGTGTACGTACTCACGTACGTGTGTGTGTGTGTATGTATGTATGTATGTATGTATGTATGTATGTATGTATGTATGTATGTATGTATGTATGTATGTATGTATGTATGAACGTATGTATGTATGTATGTACGTACGTATGTATAGTATGTGTGTATAGTATGTATAGTATGTATGTATGTATGTATGTATGTATGTATGTATGTATGTATGTATGTATGTATGTATGTATGTATGTATGTATGTATGTATGTATGTATGTATGTATGTATGTATGTATGTATGTATGTATGTATGTATGTGTGTGTGTGTATGTAATGTATGTATGTATGTATGTATGTATGTATGTATGTATGTATGTATGTATGTATGTATGTATGTATGTATGTAATGTATGTATGTATGTATGTAATGTAATGTAATATAATGTAATGTAATGTAATGTAATGTAATGTAATGTAATGTAATGTAATGTAATGTAATGTAATGTAATGTAATGTAATGTAATGTATGTATGTAATGTATGTAATGTATGTAATGTATGTAATGTATGTATGTATGTATGTATGTATGTATGTATGTATGTATGTATGTATGTATGTATGTATGTATGTATGTATGTATGTATGTATGTATGTATGTATGTATATGTCTGTATGTATATGTCTGTATGTATATGTCTGTATGTGTGTATGTATGTGTGTATGTATATATGTATATATGTATGTATGTATGTATGTATGTATGTATGTATGTATGTATGTATGTATGTATGTATGTATGTATGTATGTATGTATGTATGTATGTGTGTACGTACTCACGTACGTGTGTGTGTGTGTATGTATGTATGTATGTATGTATGTATGTCTGTATGTATGTATGTATGTATGTATGTGTGTACGTACTCACGTACGTGTGTGTGTGTATGTATGTACGTATGTATGTATGTATGTATGTATGTATGTATGTATGTAGGTAGGTATGTATGTATGTATGTATGTATGTATGTACGTATAGTAAGTAAGTAAGTAAGTAAGTAAGTAAGTAAGTAAGTATGTATGTATGTATGTATGTGTGTGTGTGTGTATGTATGTGTGTATGTATGTGTATGCATGCATACATGCATGTATGTATGTATGTATGTGTGTGTGTATGCATGTTTGTTATTTCGCTTCTTTGTTTGTTCGATTGAACTGTTGTTGGCCTCGTTGTCTTTTTGTTCGTCCGTCGGTCCCTCCGTTCGTTCGTTGGCCTGCCTGCCTGCCTCCCTGCCTGTCTGTCTGTCTCTGTCTGTCTGTCTGTCTGTCTGTGTTTGCTGGTTTGCTTGCTTGCTTGTTTGTTTGTGTGTCTGGGCGGGTTTGGTGCTTTGCCTCGTGGTGTTTTCAGAGAGGTCAAAGCATCAAATCCGGAGCACTGCAGCACCTCGAAGTACTGCGTCTGCGCTCTGCACCCTCAGCCGGTCGGTGCAAAACCCCCAAATCCAACACCCGTTGGGTGCTGCAAAGAATACACCTGTTTACTGCTCGATTGAACTCATTCACCTACCGGTTTAAAACTTACATGTGGGCTTGAAGGAGTCCAAAGGTGTAAATCAACATGCGAGTATACAGGTGTGTTTTGCAAAAAAAACGCAATACCTGCGAAAAGAAGATGATTTGCAAAAGAACTCTCTCCGCTGCGGGGCTTGT